AGATAGATAGATAGATAGATAGATAGATAGATAGATAGATAGATAGATAGATAGAGATGATTATAGAGTTCAAAGCTATGTGATCACTACATGTACGAGCGTATATTCTATCTGCGCGACCACTCTGTATTTCATTGTCGATTTCCACTTCATTATTATTATAATTATTTTGATTATTGCTGGATTCAAACCCCACTCTTATTGATCTCCGTTCAGATGATGACCCCCTTGAAGGCATCAACAACAGGCTGGAGGAGGTCCAGTCTATGGTCAAGCCAAAAGCGGAACTGTCTGGATTTATCGAAGATATGGATCCCGAGCAGAGAGAGCGCATTTATGTTAGTGATTGTTTGCGCGTTATACCAAGTGCAAACTGCTAATCTTTCTTCTTTATACCCAGTTCAAACTGCTCGTTCGATTGTTTGTTATACGCAGTGCAAACTGCTAGTCTAATCGATTGTTCGTTACACCCAGTGCAAACTGATAATCGTTTCTTCGTTATACCCAGTGCAAACTGCTAGTCTAATCGATTGTTCGTTATACCTAGTGCAAACTGATAATCGTTTGCTCGTTATAATATCCATGCAAACTACTTATCCTTTGCTCGTTATATACCCAAATGCAAACTGCTAATCAAATTCAGTCGTATTGAAACAGGACCAATCAGCTTTTCCTCCATATGTGGGGACAAAAGGTACCACTTTGCCAAAATTTGATTAAATTCTCCAAAATTATGCATATTATTTGGGTTTTGGGGTGGGTTTTTTGGGGGGTTTTTTTTGGGGGGGGGGGGGGATTTGATCAAATTGTGCCAATATCGCCGCTCCCCCGCCCACCTATCTCTCTTGAACACCTTGGCCGGCTACCGCTGTATCAAATGAATAAAATCGGCAATGTGTGCAGGGTATAAAATTGTATATTGTTGCAGTGCCATAGTGCTTTGCAGCAACAGTAAAAAAAGAAATAATATTACATTACCTGAAAGTGGTCTTTTATATTTCATAATTTTGGACAATGTAATATCATACCGGTACTACTAAGAATGAATTTATATAGAGTAAAAATGAAATACGTGAACTATTGAAGACAGGCAGACAGAAAGAAAGCGAGAAAAAAGAACGAAAGAAAGAACGAAAGAAAGAACGAAAGAAAAAAACGAAAGAAAGAACGAAAAAAGAAAGAAAAAACCCGAAAGAAAGAAAAAAAGAAAGAACGAAAGAAAGAAATAAAAAAAAGAAAAGTATGTAACGCTCAAATCGTGTTACATTAATACAGCTTGACCATGTTTCATATTTTAATTGTTGTTGGGACTTTCTTTCCAAAAATTGACACATAATTTTTTTTCTCCGACCTCCTCTTCTTCTTCAGAGAATTACCAACATGGATTTTCATACCGTGAGCAAAGAACGCAGGAAAAACTGGAAGGTGAGAGAGATTGGTATTTCACGTCGTTTACCTTATAACCTTTAGTTCCCCTCCTCTTTTCTAATTTTGTAATCCTGAAGTCATTCGCTCATCTAAATAATGAAATCTAAGAAACCAATATATTTTTGCGACCATTGGGCATTTTGTGACGTTTGTTGTCGTTGTTGTTGCTGTTGTTGATGTTGTTATTGATGATGATGATGATGATGATGATGATGATGATGATGATGATGATGATGATGATGATGATGATGATGATGATGATGATGATGATGATGACGGTGGTGGTGGTGGGGTATTTTTGGAAGGGGGGGGGGGTAAGAACCTTTTATGTCCGCTTAAAAATGTATTTGTTTGGATTTAGTTGAAAAAACGTTGACCAAAGGGACAGAAAAATATAAATTTGCAGCCATTTCTCACTTATGCGTATTTTTACCTCTTACACCCAGCAACCTCCCCCCCCCCCCCCCCAAATCACTTTCAATTGTAAATGTTTCGACTTCCGTTCAAGACGGATGGGTATATTTACAGAAAGCTGCCCAAAAAATATAGGCCTACTCTTCCATACGATGTCTCTTTTGTCGTTAATAGCAACATTTGAACATGACATTGTGTATTATAGAACATTCTATTTTAAATATTATAATAACAGTTCAGTTATATTTATATGCATCGTTCACTTAATCATTTGTACAGTTTTATACTATATTTACGTTTGTCAAAATGTCCCATTTAATTAAGGTGTTTTGTGAGCATATAATGCCATGTCACAGAATATATTTGTGGGTGGTTGGTGGGTGCTCTCTTGTGGTTCGCTCCTTTTTTCCTATCAAACATCTATGGTCCTTATCTCTCCTCCTTTTTTGTGTTTGTTTCTCTCTTGGAACACCTCTAATTTTTGCGCTTATGTGACCTTATTGTGTTGCCAGTGCCGTAAAACTCTTATCAAAACTAAATAGTATGTATATTTTATTTAATATGTTGGTTTAGTTTTGAAACGTTACTCCCATACCGGACTCTCTTCTTCCACAGAAATCAGATTTCATCAAGCATGCTTTCCGAATGGTTCGCATGATGACCCTTGCGACTAGTCGAAGCAAAAGGTAAGGGAAAATACAAGTACATGTACTTTGTCGTTTGTTCTGTCAGCCACTTTCTACATTTACGCCGTGTCTCCATAATAATGGATGTGTCTGAGCTTGTGCATGAAAATACACGTTTTTTGTTTTTTTAAAAGGATTTTTTGGTCAAAAGTAGTCGAACCTGTCCAAGACAACGGCCGATTGTCGAGGAGAAAAGTAGCCATCTTAGACAGGTGGCTTTCTTGGACAATGTTATTATAATATCGAAAAAAAAAAAGAAACACCCGTAGGATATGCACGGATGTGGTTTGGGGGGGGGGGGGGGGGAGTTCTCGTTTGTACAGGCGATTGTCTGGAACAGGTGGTCGTTAGTGTAGGTTTGACTGTATTTCCTTCACGTCCTGCTATTCTATTCGAGTCTCAAGCTATGAGCAGATTAGGCATTCACAAACTGTTTGTAAAGGTACAGTTCTCTCATCATGTTCATCATTGGGGGAATTAGCCACGACATAAATTCATTTTTTGCTTCAACTTCCAACGGCAAGATCTACTCTGTCTGCGCAGTGCGAACTTTGTTGTCGTTGAAAGGGGAAGGGGGAGCGAGGGGTGTAAAATATTTAAAACCAAGAAAGACAACAAAAACCTTATCATTTAAAAATGAAGAAGAAAAACATGCCTCCGCGGACCCAACTTCCCTATCAAACCGGGTTCAACTTCCCACGAGGAGATCAGAGCCCATCTCAAACAAGCGAAAGTGAGAGACTTCAAATTGGAGAACTAAATCTATAGTATTTTATATTAAACATTTAAGAAGAAAAGATTTTTTTTTAAATGCAGCCTCAAGGAAAAATATGATTAAGTTAAGACAAATTGATACAAACTGCTGTTCATGGGTGACATTGATTCTCCCGATAAAGAGATATTTGGAGAAAAGTTGCGCCACGAATTTTCGACCGCACTTATAGTAGTACATTATGTAGTAGTAGTAGTAGCCTAGCCGAAGAAGAACATGTAGTACACTGTTTCAAATTTTGCCCCAAATCAGAATACATGTACTAAGAGGCTCACTGAGGCAGCGTGGTGAAACCAAGCGCTTGTCAATATAACGAAATTGGAGAAATAGACATTTTTCCCGCCAGTTTGGCAATTTTTATTGAATTCTTTAATTTTCAGTAAAAAAACCCCCAAACATTTCAGTGTGGATTTTACTGGAAAACATTGATTAAATGCACCCAAAAATATGTACATTTTCAGTTTTCAAGAACTCTTAAGCTTTGGAAAATGAAAATCACCAAACTTTGTTGGCCAATATTTCGCGCTAATTTTACCTCTGAAACCAGGCAACCCTGACCTCCTTCAATCGTGAATATCTTGACTTCTATTCTAGATAGACGTGTATTCTTTACATCAAGAGATGGTCAAATGAACAAGCTTTAAGATGATACCAATAACTCCAGATGCCCAAAAATTGACGAGCGCCTGATTCCACCGCGCGGTGACACCAAGTTTTATTTCGAGCTCCGCACTGGTGAGAGCCGTGAACTCTTCACCTCAGGATGTCCGATAACGGGGGGAAACCGCAGAAACTCGCGGGCGTTTGAACCGTGTCTGATCTGATCTGACCATCCGGTCGAGGATTCAGATAAAAAAGAGGAATAATAGAGCATTTGGGAATACACGTCTAGGCTTAGGAATTCTCAGATGAAAACCTATGCTTAGACAAGACACAGCACAATTATTGCTCTTGCAGTTTGTGAAAAGGCCGTTTCTACAATATATCAGTGTCAGTGACCTGTGTAATTGTGTTCTATGACTTCTAAATTTGAGGTAAAATTTCACCAAATGTGCGCTCAAATAGCTCTAAAAAGCTAATATTTGACAAAAACCAAGTATATGTGTTATAGCGGGACTTGAGACACGAGCGCCAGGTATCGTGGACAGTTTGCTGAGAATGAAATTGTACCGGTAATGAATTCACAACACTTACTGTGACACTACACGTATCTCTGCCAGCAAGCGCTGTTAAACTCTCCAATCAAACGTTAATAAACCTTTTTGTAATATTAATAGTTCAGTGTAGTACGTGTAGGTAGATCTAGCAACTAAAAAGTGAAGATGTGTGTCAATCTATTTCAACGGACTGGAAAGGAAGCAGATGAGAGCAACACATTAGTTAGTGTAACATAATTTTTGTTTGTATGGGAAAACTACTTGAGTTCCGATGACTTCATTTGGTGGGTATGTTGTTTGATGCGTTCTCTTTCATTGTACAAAAATATCAGGCACATCTATCGT